CCGCGCCGGCTGCCCCGCACCTCGCGGCCGCCGCGCCTGTTGCCGTGGCCGCGGTGCTGCCGCCTCGGAGGACGCTCCAGGTTCCGACCAAAGTCGCGCTCACTCCATGTAACTCTCAATTGCAATGCTGGAGAAAGCGGCAACGGTGTCCGGGCAAAGCCTGCGGGCACCTGAGGTCCTTTCTACAACTGCGCGTCAGTACCCCTTTACGAACAATGCTTTACGCCACGTTCGGGTAGCCTCAGCATCCACGTGTCACTGCTGTCTACCCACTTTCGTTGGTTGAATCAGAGGACAACTTTGATCAGGACACATTTGCGGACAGACTTACCCTTTAGACCAGGGGCGCCTTTCTTCTTTCGTGACCTGTTTTCCCACCTCTCCTTCCGTTCAGATCTCGAAGTCACTTGGTGGAGAAAGGTAACAGTTATCACCCGCCGTGCTCACGACACTGTACTATATATGCCTTGTACAATTTATCCCGTTTACTTGCCCAGAATAACTTCGAGATAGACTTCGTATCAATTTTAGAGGCGAGACACTTGAACCTCAGAGACCCCCGCACCACGGCCAAGGTCTACCACCTGCAAAGCTCCCCTCTGCCATTGCTGTCTGGTGCACACCCCGGACAGGGTTAATCCTCTGAATCCTAGCGTAAAAGACAAAGGCAAACTTAGGTGCCAGCAGACACCACGGACTCAGGGGTGGGGCAGCCTGTCTGAAAAGAGGACCCTCAATATCTCACCATAATTGAACCACACTGAAATACAAATGATGGGAGCTTGAAAAGGAAAAGCACACAGCTGTTCATAACTTGGCAAGAATTTCTCATTGACTTTGCGAGGCAGAGCTTGAGAGAAGGGCAAGAGGCAAACGGAGGAAAGAGAAATAATTTATAAAAGATTTGCTGACTGAGGCTGAGGTGGAAAGGGTAATTAGGGCGATCTTCCCACACAGAGATGTCACAACTGACCCACTATTGGTGGGGCAAGCAGCTCAGGCTGCTTTTCCGGTAATGTGATAGCGGCCGTGTGTCATCCACGCCGCCGCACCCATTTTCCCTCAGGACTGATGAGTGTCAGAAATGGTGGCCAGATTTGAAGTGCAAATCGCAGTGCCCAATCTGTAAAGCTTTCCTGCAGCAGTCCACACTGACTGTTTCCACCCAGCAGTGAAGGTGGAGAACACGATTAACATCATTTGACTCTCCTTTAAAGCCATTCTTGGTAAAATGCTTTCAGGAATTGTAATCAGTTTTGTCTTGAAAAGCACAAATCTTATTTGCTGGGAGTTACTGTTTAAGGGACGGAGTTACGGTTTGGAATGGTGACAGCTGTGAAGAGGCGTACCGGCAGTGGTCACACAACAGTGGGAACACACACTTACACGGCTTTAACGTGAACACTGACATCTGCATTGTTTGATCAACTACTGTACTAGCAAGATACTTGAAGCTCTTTGATGTCGCCGCTGAAAGTTTTTAAGCATTGTGGGTCCTATTGGAATACATCAGGGCTCCTAAGGCTTCCTTCTTCCTAATTTAACTGTTAATAATTATTAACAGCTTTATTGCAATACACTTGGTATACCACAACTCCACATATTTAAGGTGTGCAGTTTGCTAAGACACACACACACACACACACACACACACACACACAAAACTTACCACACAGCAGGGTGAGGTGGCACATGTCTGAAATACCAGTTTCTCAATAGGCTGGGAAAGCAAAGGCCACAGAATTGGGTCTTTTGGGCTTGATTTGGGTCAGCTACTATATTAGTTAACTAACAGTGACAAAATCTACTATGACCTGAGAAAGTCAATTGAAAAGGTGGAAAGAAATCCAGCTACTGAGGGACTGAAGCAGAAGAATCACACGTGTGAGCCAGATCCCCATCTGTGGTGGACTGACAACTGGTGGTCAACTTGTAACCCCCAGCTGAACTGAGTAAGCCTGGTGCTGAGTGTGGGAGGCCACCTGAGGACTGTTGGCCGCAGCATAAGAGGCAGAACTGGAGAAGAAGACGTTAGGCTGTAGGGAGCTGAGGGAGGCTGTTGGTGCTCTTGGAGGAGCTCGTCATGCTGGCTTTCCTGATGAACTTGGCTGTTTTCATCCTGCAAGGAGCTTGGGACCTTGTTGTTGCTGAGAATGCCTTTGGTTCATTTTGGGGAAGCCCTGGTCCTCACTCTCATCACTTCCTGGCTCCAGAGGGGAAGAAGGTGCCTAGCTCAGTCTCCTGGAGAAGCTTGTTGCATTGGCTTTCCTGATGGGAACTTAGCTTTCCTGATCATCGGAGGAGCTCCGGACCTGAGGTTGCTGAGGGTGGCTGTGGTACCTTTCGGGGGAGCTGTGTTTCTTACTTGACATGTTGCTTCCTGGCTCCAGTGCAGATCCCTCAGCCTGCTAGCACAGCTCCTTCATCCCACTGACACAGACTTTCTAGATTCCACCACTGACCTGTGGGCCTTCCCAGTGCAGATTCGTGAAACAGGCCTGCGTGAGACACTGTTATGGGCTCTAGGCCTACAGCTGGACTCATGGGAGGCACTGTTATGAGCACTAGGTCTTCAGCTGGACTCATGCAGGACATTATTGTGGGATCCAGGCCCTCAGCTGGATTTTTTGGTCATTAGTGTGTGGACAGATTTCCTGCACTCTCTTGTATATGATTCTTTAGGTGACTATTATAATCTTATAAACTATGTGTCTGTATATTATATTGTTCACCTGGCACGACACCATCTCAAAATAAAATAAAGCCCCTAACCACGACACCATCTCAAAATAAAATAAAGCACTATAGGTACCTCTTAGCACTTCCTAGATTCAATCTCCAGTACTGGAGGGTGGGGGAGAGAAAGAAAGAGGGAGGGAGAAAAGGAAGGAGAGGGAGGAAAGAAGAAAGAAAAAGAAAAGAAAGGGAAGGAGGGAGAGAAGAAACAAAATGAAGGAGAAAGAGAAGAAGAAAGAAAAGCAAGGAAAGAAGAAAATGATTGATTTATTTTGGCTCAGTTTCAGAAAAATCAGTCCAAGGTCACTTGGCCCTGTCACTTTGGACCTGTGGCAGGGCAGAATATCACGGTGGAGAGTGTGCGGTAGAACAAAACTTTTTACCTCATGGTGGCCAAGAAACAACAGAAAAAACAAGGGGCCAGGGTCCCAACATCCCCTTGAGGAGTGTGCCTCCAGGGGCCCAACTCTCTCCCACTCTGCCCCACCTCTTAAAGGGTTCCCCACCTCCTAACAGCGTGAGAGGCTAGTGACAAGCCTTTAACACATGGCCTTTGGGGGACATTTCAGATCCAAACCATGGCAGCTCGGTTATACCTGCATGCGACACATGGAGTTGTGGCCACAGCGCTGGTGGCAGGTCTGGGTATGTGTCTGACGGTGGCATGGGAGGTGAGCAAGCACCCTGTCAGCACACAGGAACTCAGACAGAGAAGGCGCAGGACACTAGGGAAAAACTAGAGGGAAAAGGTGCTGGTCAGCAGATGGAAAGATGCTCACTGTGCAACACACACACACGGCTTCCATGGGCCTTTTCAGAGTTTTCCACTGTATCTTTTAGTTGGCTTCTTTTTCTTGATGAGGGCCCTAAGCTGGTAAAAGCTTCAGCCCCTCCCCCCAAATTTGGAGCTACTGTCAGCCTCTCCCTTCTCTCAGAGCCAATCTGCTGCCAAACTTTTGTCAATTGCTTAATGACACTGCCTGCCTTCCACTCCCAGCAGCTTGAAACGGAGGCTCTTATCTGCCACAGAATGGCATCCTGTCCCCAGCCTTCCTCTTCCAGCTTCACCTCCAAAACAAGCCTTCAGCCAGGTGGCTTCTCAACAAATTAAAAATAGGATTACCATATGACCCAGCAATTCTACTCATGGGTATGTACCCCACACAACTGAAAACAGGCTCTCAAGGAGATATTTGTACATCTTTGTTCATAGCAGCATTATTCACAATAGCCACAGGTAGGAGGGATCTGTGTTCACGGATGTGTGAATGGCATACAACAAGTGGTGTATACATGCAGTGGTGTATTCAGCCAAAAGAGAGGGAGGGAGTGGGGAGAAAGGAGGAAGGAAAGGGAAAAGAGAAAGAAGAGAGAGAGAGACAGGCAGAGGGAGAGAGAGGGAAAGAGAGAGAGAGAAGATGAAAAAGAAGAAGAAAGAAGGAGGAGGAGGAAAAGGAAGAAGGGGAGGGGAGAGGAGGGGGAAGAGAGGAAAGAGAGCAGAGAAGGGGAAAAGTTAATCCTGATACATGCTATATAACATGGATGAACCTTGAGGACATCACACTAAAAGAAATAACCCAATCACAAAAGCATAAATGGGGGCTGGGGATTTAGCTCAGCGGTACAGCGCCTGCCTGGCAAGCATGAGGTCATGAGTTTGACTCCTCATACGGGAAAACAAACAAAAACAAAACAAAAGGATAAATGATTGCACTATACTATGATTCAGCTAGGGGCTCAAGGGAGGGGGGATTCTGAAGTTACTGTTTCCTGGGAACAAAGTTGTAGTTTTACAAGATGAATGGTGGTAATGTAGCATAGCACTGAGAATGTGTTTGCTACCACCTCCTTATATACTTTAAAATGGTTAAGATGGTAAATTTATGAATATTTTACCACAATTTTTAAAAACCCAAAGTTGATGTCATAGTAACTTTTCTGAGTACACATATGATCACAGTATCCACCCTATATAAAAGCCTACCGGCTCCCCATCTGGCCATCAGTCTAAGCTCAAGCTTTCCAGCTCTCAGGATTGCTTAATAAGGATTTAAAAAGTCATGTCTCAAAATGTTGGCTTACGTAGCGCTGTGTGACAGAAGGCAACCTCTCAATAATTGGATATTATCATCATGATTGTTAACGAGTTTATTCAGCCTCTCTCTAATCTTGTCTTCTGTCACTTCCAATTTGATGCTTCCATTCTAGAAGTAGCCCATGCTGTTTCAAAGGGACCTGCTTCTACAGGTGTGTTCTCTGCTTCTATTTCTTGACATTTATCCTTTAAAATCCAGCTCAAAATCACCTTTCTCCAGCAGGTGAGGGTTCCTTGTCTCACAGACCTACAATATTCTCCCCTTTTCTGTGTCCTTTCTGTCTTGTAAATGTTTTCACTGTTGCTCCTGATACAGTCTTGTACTGTATAGGTGTACATGCTCCTTTCTAGAGTGTGAGAGATTTCAGGCAGAAAATACTATTGTTCATTCTTATATTGAATCTGGCATAATGCACACAGCCAGGTGTTTCACTCAAGGAAGAATATGACACGCACTTTCCTAGGTATTTTACAAATCTTATCCCACTCAGTCTTCAAACAGCAGCCAAAAGGAGATATTATTGTTCTTATTTTTTTTTCAGATGGAAGACACCAAGGCTCAGAGAGGTTAATAAGCTGTTTAAAGTTCCACAGTAAGGAAGTCAGAACTAGAATTTAGGGTTTGATTTCTTTCTGCTTCTGAAATCCATGTTTTCCTTGCCTGACGACATTCTGTCATTACAATCTATAGTTTCCTGGGGGCAAGGACTGTAAAGCTATTGTGGTTGATACATTGTGTCAACTTGAAGTCTAGAAGCCTAACTAAGTAATTCAGCAGTTCTACATCCTGGGGTGCAAAAGACATGCTCTTACCTCTCTAGGTTGTTGTTCAGTGTCAACTTGAGAAGTTTACAAGGTTGAGTGATTCAGTGGGGGAGGGCCAGGGTCCTCACACTGTGAACACCCTAAGCCTGTGCAAGAGGAGGGCAGAGAGGTGGTGTGAGTGCTGCACGCTCCCCCAGTGGGGGCAGCCTGCTTACGATATAAGGGAGGAAAACGGGCTTGCTCTTCCTCCCCTTTGCTCTTGTTGCTTTTGCTGTCTTCTGCCACCTTGAACAGTTGCCCCTGTGCCATGTGCCACCCTGCCTTGGAGCCAGCTGAGGATGGACTGAAACCTCCACAAATTGTGAGCTAAATAAACCTTCCCTTTTAAATTTGAGTGTCAGGTATTTTGTCTCAGCAATGAGAGAAAAGTAACTAATACAAAAGAAAACAGAAACGTGAGACCTAAATCCTAGGGTAACTCAGATTGGAGAACAAGGGAACAGGTAAACAGTTTACTTCCTCAAAGATGTGTAAAGAAAATCACTCAAGTGAACCCAGAAAACAAGTGGGAAGAAAGTTTTAAGGGATGAGGCAAGGTCAGTGAAGACAGAACAGGCGGTTATTTCTCAGTACAGTCCTTCTCACTGAGAAGCCTCAAGGCCAGGGTCCCATAGAAATGAACTTCTCAGGAGGGAAGCAGCAGAGGGAGAAGCCCACCTACAGTGGGAGAGAGCAGAGCAGGGGGCAGCTGGGTTAGAGTCCAGAGTCTCCAGAGGAGGGTCCAGGAAAGGAGGGAATGCCAGTCCATGGAGTTGGAAGGGCGAGCGGGAGATGAGGATGTAAAGCACGAATTCTGGGCATCCAGAAGGGAGAACAGGCCACCCTCCACCCCTCCCTTCCCCTGCTCTCTACTTCCTTACCTCTTACGTTCGTTCGTTCATCGGGTCTCTCTCCTCTTCTCTTTTGTTTTACTTTTTTTGTACCTTTATCTTACCTCATTCCTCCTTAAAGCGATGGGTATCAGCCCACTAATTTTAACCTATTGTCATTCAGATCAAAGAAACTGCTGACTGGCCAGGTTCGGTGTTAACGAAACACAATGCTTCAGCAGCTGCCCTCACACTTGGCAGCCTGGAGACAGTTTGGCAAGAGGGGAGCGGCCACAATCAGAGCTATTGTGTCTGAGGTTTAAAACCTTTTCAAGACTTTCACACGGTGATTCTGTGTGTGCTGTGTGCTCCCGCACACTGTGAGACGGAAGGGGATTCCACGGCATTCACGGACTCTCGACAGGAAGAAGGATCAAAAGTGTCAGGAAGAAAGAGTTCCAGGGCCCCCCTGCTTCTCACTGTTATCAAGTACAGTTGTCCAATTTCAGCTTCTTTGTAATAATTCATGTCCTGATTTTGAAAAGGATGCAGTGTAAAAGCTTTTGTCTGTTCGGAGGAGGGTTAGCATAAAGAATCTCACCTCAGCAAACTTTTTGAAATATAAAAAGACTCACATTCCAGCCTCACATTCCAATCTTCTTTGTTGCTTATCAAAAACCTTAGATAATTTAAGAAGGTATCAGAATGCAAATGCAGTTTACTTCCTCTGTAAACTTATTTACTCTGAAATATAAAGGCTACGGTTCTCTATTGAAATGCATTTCTTTTAGCACTATTCTGACAAAGGAGAGTGGTGACAAATTATGCAGAAGTTTGCCTAGCTCTTATTTCTTAAAATACATGTTGGATTCACTCCTCAGCCCTTAAAAAATGCTTTTGGAAAATAGACATTTAGCTCAATGGCCTTAAAAGCATTAATATAGTAAGCAAAAAACTAAATTTTTAAACTTATTAGGTCATAATCTTTAAGAGCACAGGCACCATTCTATCCAACATTATGTCCTCCACACTTATATATAGTAATCACTCACAATGTTTGCATTGCTAAAGTAATTATTTGGGAAGCCTTTAAAATCCAAATCAATGTAAAAAGCAAAATGAAACTTAAGCTTAACCAGTCAGAAACTACTGACTAACTTTTCCCTACTGACTTTGCACTTTAATCAGTCCAATATTTTCTTTGCTCTTCTTCATCAAACACCTTATAAAGGTTCCCCGCCACACCCTCTGTGCCTCGTTTATGAATCCTGGTCTGCTTAGACCAACTCTTAAAAGTTTTAATGTGCCTAAGTGCATCTTTTAACGGCCTAATAGGTGATTGTGAAATAACACGCTGATGTCAGAGTGTAGTTTACAGGAAGCATCCTTAGAGGTATATCATTTGGTTAATTTTACTTCATTCAATGCATTCATTAACTATTTGTCAAATGACCATCCTGTCTGGGTCACTTGTAGGCCCAGGGAAAACATGACAAATGAGATGGTTAAGATCTTTCTTTAGCAGCTTTCAATCTAGTAGGGGCTGCAGCACAGACCATAGTCAAATATCATAAGGAAGATCATTTCAGGGAGCCAAGAGCACTGTGAAGACAGTAAATGGGTATCATGCCGGAGAGTTTGTGTGTGCGACTTGAAAGACAGAGTGGCCTGGGGTGTTCGGGTGGTGATATGAATGATGAGAATGGAAGAAACGCCTTCCTGGCAGAGGAAGTGGACAGGCAAATGTATTGAGAGGATGAGCTTGCAAGAGAGAGAAACAGAAGAGCTGAAGGCACCAAGCAAGGGAGAGGATGAAGTGGAGGGGGCAGAGCAAGGCAGGTCAAGCAGGGTTTTGCCGACTGTAAGGAGTAATGTGTGGATGTGGTTTGTCTCCCAAAGGTTTCTGTGCTTGAAGCTTGGTCTTCAAATCTGGTAGTATTTGAAGTAGTACAACCTTTCAGGTGTGGGTCCTAATGGAAGGTAGTGAAGTTATTGGGAATGCTGCCCTCAGGAAGAAGTGCAGTAGTTTTCCTGGGACCCTGGTTAGTTCCCACAAGAGTAGGTTGTTATAAAAATTGCTTCTGGCTTCCTGCCTCACCATGTGATCTCTCCCTCTTGCATGTGCTCCTGCCATGATACTGTCAGCCATATTATAGTACAGCCAAGGGTCCCTCACTAGAGGCTGAAAAAAAAAAAGTTTCATGATCTTTTTTTGGGGGGGTCTTTTTTGAGACAGGGTCTCTATGCAGTTCAGGCTGGCCTTAAACTCACTTTGTACCCCAGGCTGGCCTCAAACTTGCAACAGTCCTACTGCCTCAGCCTCCCGAGTGCTGGTCTTTCAGCCTCCAAAACTGTTAGCTAAAGAAAGCTCTTTTTTAATAAAGTGTCCAGTTTAGGTATTTCATTCTAGCAACAGACAGATTAATAAAAGTCATAACAAAGGTCTGAGGCCCTGAAACACCTTCTATGCTTGTTTCTGGATTAAAGAAAACTTAAATAAGCCCAGATTAATTAAATATTGAGGCAATTTAAAAATGAAAAGCCCTGAGTAGTGCATCTGACAATTCATCCACATAACAGAGTAGTGGGCTCAGTGTTCAGCCTCAGGATTAATAAGCACCTATTATGTTATAATACTTGTTTAGCTGAGAGCTTGTGTTTCAGAAAAAGAATGTGGTCAATATAATAGGAAAGAATTTTCCCACTTTTTTGTGTGTTTAGAATTGGCCACTATACTAGTTTCCATTTCTTTATCCAACTTTGTGTTTTAAATTGCTTGGATTAAAAAAATCTATTTTGGCTTCACCTCAGTTTTTTTTTTTTTCCCAAAAAAAATTTTCATGGAAACTTTATAAAGTGATTTGAGGGAGTCTTACTTTTTTAGCTCTCAGCAAGAAGAGAAGATAGTATGATTTATAGGCCTCATTCATTCCAAATGCCACTGCCGTCTCCCACCAAATCCATTTCAGCTGTAAAAAAATTGCCATCAAATTGCCTGATTTTACTGCTGTCTTACCAGGAGTACTGTGATCTGAATATATCACCTCAAAATTCATGTTGAAACTTACTCTCCGGGGTAACAGGATTAAGAAGCAGGAGATGATCAGATCATGAGGGCTCCTTGTGTATAGAATTGAGGCCATTATACAAGAGGCTTCATTCAGCAACTGTCCTTCTGCTTTTCTACCTTCTAGCATGTGAGATGTAGCAATAAGGCCCCACCTGAAAGCAGAGAGAGATGCTCTCATTAGTTACCAAACCCGCTAAAACTGCAAGAAAGAAATTTCTATTGTTTATAAGTTGCCCAGTCTTAAGTATCTCCTTGTAGCAGCACAGACTATGGCAAGGGTTATACAGGGGGAAAAGTCTTTAATAAATGTAGCTATTGGGAGGCTGAGACAAGAGGGGCACATGAACCCAGAAACCTGAGGGCAGTCTTGGCAACATAGTAAGATACCACCTCAAAAACAATTAATGAAAAATGAAAAAGAGGGCGGGGATGCTGCTCGGCGGCGCAGTGCCTGCCTGGCAAGCACAAGGTCCTGAGTTCAATTCCTTGTAATAGAAGAAAAATGAAAAATGAAAAAGAAAGAAATTCTGCTACTGAATTTGATTATTTTTAGAAAATATAGTACTCATATATATATATGATTTATTTTCTCTTATAATTATATTTTCATATATATTTTTTGAGACAGGTTCTTGCTATATAGTCTAGGCTGGCCTTGGATTTGCTATAAAGCCTAGGCTGACCTTGAACTCACAATACTCCCAGCTCAGCCTCCCAAGTGCTTGGATTACAGGCATGCACCGCTGGGCCTGGCTTAGAACTGACTCTTAATAAAGGTTTTGAAATAAAATAGAAAGTACAAGGTGGAAAGTAAGAGAGCAGCCTGAGTTTGAAGACATCCAGCTGTGTGACCTTAGGCAGATTATTTATCTGACCTTTGTAAGCTTCAGCTACCTCATTTGTAAAATTAGGACACTTACCTCATATGATTGTGTGAGATTTAAATGGTAATATATCATTATTTCTAAGTATATGTTCCCAAGGTGAAATTGCACTTGCTTTAGGAAATCTAATCCTCGATTATTTATCTTACACGCCACTTAGTTGTACGTTCTTGGCATGTATCAATGCTCTACCATTAGTCACTATCATATGACCGACCTTGCTAATGACCATGCTGCTTTTATCCATGCTATTTCCACCTTTATATCACATCTTAAATCTACAGATTGGAGGTTATGTTTTATATCTGTTCCTCACACATTCCTAGCTGAGTTCTAAGTTCAAGCAGCAATACAGTTGGAATCCAAAATATCCCTCAAAGGTCTGTGTTGAATGACTGGTGCCCAGCCTGGCTAGTATTGGGAAGGCCTGGTGGAAGAAAATTGAGGTCACTGGAGATGGGGCTTTAAAGGGCATATTGGGACCAGCCCCTTCTCTTTTGCTTCTTGGTCACCATAAGGTTGGTCACGTTGCTCTACTACATGCTCTCTGCCATGACGCACTGCCTTACTACAGGCCCAAAAGAAATGCGCCAACCGAGCATAGGCCGAAACCTCTGAAACTATGGGTCAAATATAAATCTTTATTTAAGTTTATCGTCTCAGATAATTTGTCACAATGGCAGAAAACTGGCTAAAACAAGTAGAGTTATTATTTGCCAATTTATTATTTTTGAGTTAAAGTGGCAGTGCTACCTCTAGAGGACTGCTGTGTCATTTATACAACCGTCCAAAAGGCTGGCTAATATATAACTTAGCAACTTGTTGACCCCTTCAGATGTAAGCCAAAAATACTGTTCCTGTCAGCACCAGCCTACAAAGGTCAGCAAACAGAGCTCTTAAAATGCATTCATTTTTCATCTGATTCACTCACTTCTTCAACAAGCAGCTATTTGTGTGTCAGCTATGTCAGATACCATCCTAGACTCAAGAGACAGCACTGAGCAAGACAGCCTTGGACATAATAGCTTCTCATACTTGGATTTTATTGTCTTAACAGGCTTTCAAAGCGGGGCAAGGTTGTGCACACTTGTAACAACAAACTCAGCAGGCTAAGGCAGGAGGACAATTACAAGTTTGAGGCCAGCCTGGGCTACAGTGAGTTCAAGGCTAGCCCGAACTGCACAGTGAGACCTTGTCTCAAAAAAAAAAGTCAAGATTTTTCTGTTTGCATCTTCTATTTAACCAAAACCACACATGTCCATGGATAACAGCACAACCTTGTCCTAGTGTGGGGCTGACCTGTACTTGGAGTTTACAGAGCCCTCTTCCCTGGAGGAGCTCACTGATGACCAGGCTGGAAAGAAAGGCTCTCAAAGCCTTGCATGGTCTACTCTCATGTTAATAACCACTTTGAGTAACTTAGTAAAACATCTGTGTCCAGAAGGCCTTTTTCTACTGGGCCTCCTCTGTCTTTATAGCTTTCTCTCACTGACCTCAACATCAATCATCTTTTCCAGGAAGCCTTCCTTGTCCCCTCATCTACCCGGTTTGGTTAATTATCTGCTTCTGGGTTCCCAAGACTTTTAGTTTTTAATCTCTAGCATAGAATTTAATGCACTATATGATAATGACTAGTCTTCCTTTTCACTAGATGGTGTGCTTCTCACATTTAGAGGCTAACTCTTGTACATCTGTTAGGACCATAGCAAGAGGAAGAAAGATGAAAGAAGAAAGAAAGAAAGAGAGAGAGAAAGAAAGAGAGAAGAGGGAAGAAGAGAGGGAGGTGAAGTTGGTAACTGTCCCATGACCCATTTTGGGGGTCAGACTTACATGATCCAGTATCATCAATCATTAGCTATGGGATTGGGCAAGATAGTCAGTTCAGCTGGTCCCTTACCTTAATAAGCATTTGTTTATGAAAGAGTGCTAGTTATTCTCAGCGGTATAATTAATAATAATAGCTAATGTGCATAGCACCTACTCGGTGTGAGGTGCTGCTTTGAGCACTTTGCATATATCACCTCCCTTAATTCTAACATAATCTTGTAACAGGGGAAATATTAATTATATATATACCTTTTAGACAGGAAAATGAAACGATTCTCTGGCCCTGAGGGGATGATTTGCCCAGCTTATTCTGGAACCCATTTACTTATTACACCTCACTGTCTGCTGCTAGTTTTAGGAGAGAACAGGGGAAGACAGGCAGTGAGGAACACGGAGACTCCCCTGCCTCCCTAAGAAAAGCAGTCTCTGCTACTGTCACTCACTGGAGACAGCCCCACCACTGTTCCTCAGGCATTCATCTTCTTTCTATTATGCCCCCACCTGCAGTCCACACTGAAATCCAACCCACAAAGGATGGTATCAGGAGGTGAGGTCTTGGGGAGGGGATCAGGTCATGAAGGTAGAGCCCTCCTGAATAGGGTCAGTGCCCTCCTAAAAGGAGGCTAGAGAGCCATATAAGCAAGGGCCAATAAAGTAGACCCTCCACTAAGAAAGGTAGCCCCACTTTATTACCCAGGGAGGAACCCCAGCTGCTAGGCTTGGATTTGACTCTCCCCTCTTAGTTTAACTTACCGCTAGTTGAGAGCATGCCAACTGATGTTCTTGACTGGGTACCTAAAGTTGAAATTCATGTTTGGTCACTTCATCTGAGGTCTAGTAAATTTAGAAGTGATAGGGCAACTGTTCTTCATCTTACATGTAGAAAAGAATAGACAGTAGGTTTATTGGTCAGGTAAGAGGCTAATTTCTTCAATAAAGACCCAGTGTACCACCAGCTCAAGCCATAGAAATATTTCCTCTCATTGAAAAGTTTAAACCTAAATAGCCTGGGCAGGGACACAGGCTCCTTCTACCTTGTTGCTCTGCCATCCACAGCCTGCAGCTTCCATCTCTAGGTTAAACACAATGAGTTTAGCTCCTGGTCCCTTTGCCACACTTAGGTAGCAAGGAGGGAAAAGAAGGAAGGGAGGAGCACACTGCTCTCCCTAAGGGCAGAACCTGGAAGTTGTGTATATCATTTCTGCCTGATTGTCATGGCCAGAGATTAGTAAATGCCTACAGTTCCCAGCAAGCCAGCCTTGGAAGTATGTCTTTTAGCTGAGTAGCCATGTGGCTAGCTTAAACTCTCCCCTTCTTGAAGAAAAGAGAAGGGATATCACAGGAGCAATGAGCAGTGTCAACTCTCTTAAGCTGATGCCACTGGTCAGCAGGAGGTGAGCAGGACACAGAGCTCACAGAAAAAACAGCAAGGGGAGACTGAGGGCTCCATGACACAAGGCCAATCATAGTAATTTCTACTGACAGTAGGTTCTTGGATTCAGTCTTGCATTGAGACCCAGAAACCTTCCTTTCCTTGCATATGAAAACACCTGGCTTTGAATAAGCCAGCTCAAGTGACCTTCTGTGTCTTGACATCAAAAGGCATTGGTTAAGACAGTCAAAGGCTGAGGCAAGAGGACCGCAAGTGTTAAGTCCAGCCTGAGCAACTCAGGGACTTAGTGAGATCCTTCCTTAAAAGGAAAAATAAATAAAGGTCTGGGAATGTACCTTAGTGCAAAGGTCCTGGGTTCAATCCCCAGTAACTAACACACACACACACACACACACACACACCACATCACACACACACAGTAACACAATTACTTTCTCCTAGAGGGCAAGGACTATACTTTTTTATATCTGACTTGGGGTTTAGGTAGCACCCATGTTCAGTAGATAAAATTTGATTTAATGTGTTGCTTCCTGTTGCAGCTAGGTATACTTATATTATCTGTCTCCATCATTTTTTGCCAGTTACATAATTTAGGATTCTAAATTGCTTCAAAAAATAGAAAAGGTGGAGTCAGAAGGAGATTGGAGATTGTCTCAGTTCAAAAATTGAAGGGGCTGGGGATTTAGCTCAGCGGCACAGCACCTGCCTAGTAAGTGCAACGTTGTGAGTTCGATTCTGGACACCGAAAAAAAAAAAAAAAAATGAAGAACATTATAACAGTTTTGGCATGGTCCATCCTGAAATCTGTCAGCACTCTGGTGGGGAGGCCAGCAGCAGTAGCAGCAATAATGAATGCTCACCACACTGTTATGCGAACCTGAAGAGCTACAGGGCTACCCTACTTTTCCAGAGTGGACAAATGCTTGCAGGAGCAGAGTTAAATACCAAAGCAATCAGCTCACCTTCAAATGAAAACGCCGTAGCCCAGACTTGGAGATGAATCTTGCAGGAAACTTTTCCCAGTGTTTTAAATCTAACCAGCTGGAAAGAGATACTATTTTATTAGACTTTTTAAACTGAAGATTTGCTTTTTTAATGGGAAATCTGCATTCCATCAAAGAGTTGGAAAACAGTACTCTTGACTAGCTCACTTGATACAAAGCCCAGCACAATACTGTTGAGATACATGGTTTTGTTGATAATCTTCAACAGAAAATAAAGTGTAGTTTTGAGATGCTTGCCTGACAAGAACTTTAAAGCTGTCTTTGCAGTAATCAGTATTGCAGTATCATAATAAAAACTGTGGGAATAATGTTAAATCAAAGAATTTTTCATGTCTGCCTTTCATGTAGAAGGTATTTAATTAATTCTTGTTGAATGACAATGCACCAAACTGATACTGAAATAATAGTCTAGACACATTTATAATATAATACATTAACATTTTATTATAAAAACATAAAGGATTTGTGAGTGAACACTGAAATAAGCTTCATTTACATTGGGAAGGAAATCAAATCTCATGAGAGGGGTTAAATGGCTTATGGGGCAACACAGCCAGAGAGCTTTTAAAGCACAGTGGCAGAATTACAGTTCTCCTATTACTGCTACTTTCTGCCTCATTCTATGTAAAATAGCTAAATTTTTACAGTGCTGGGTATTCTTAATGTCTTTATAATTTTGAGAAGGGTCATTGACAATAGAATACTGCTTGGCACCATTTTCATTATTTACCTATTTAAGAAAATTTTTAAATCTATTCTTATAGATAACTGAGTTAGATAGAAATTAACATACAGTCAGAGAGGGACTGGGCTCTCAAGGAAGTCAGTGAAAAATAGACATCAGAATTGTGGTTGGAGGCGCATCTGTAGAAGGCCAGACACCAAGATAAAGACGCAATGGCCAGTCCTACATGCCCCTAAGGGATACACAGTGACTTGGAATTATACTGCCATAGCACCACCTGGCCCAGGAAGTACAGATAGGCATCAGTCACCCAGGGGGGTGACCAGAGCATCCAGACCTATCCCTTCCCAAAAACACTTTGTTCTTTCCATGTGCCCTTGCTACGTGACCCACTTCCCTACTGGATCAATGTTAGCTAAGTAGCTATACTGTACTTGTAATCCTACAGGTTGATTACACTTTGGCCCACATTGTACCCACACTGTAACTTGGCTGTATAAATTACCCCTGACAAAGGGCCTCAGTGACAGCCCATTTGGGACTCCTCCTGTCTCTCAGGAGCTATCTCTAAATAAACCTTTTCTACTTTTAACCACCCTTGTACCTTGGAATTCATTTTTTTATTTCAAGGGAAACAAACTCAGCACATCTGACATCTAGCAAGCTGGGAGTTATATTTCTCCTATTTCACTATGTTTCTCAAAATTATATGTTCATTTGTTTACACTGAGTTAGTTAATGCTCTGATAACAGCACTGTCTCCTAATTCCCACCCCCAAAAAGCAACTTTCATGGGTAAGTAGGTCAGCATTTCTTGGGAGAGCCTTAAAATCACTCCCAGGTTTGATGACTCCTTAACACATTGCAGGGAAAGTATGTGACAGTGACTTTTTGCAGTGACAAGATGTCAGCACAACCAGCAAAAAGAAAAGAACTGTGGGGTAAAATCTGGGAAAAACTAGACAGATGCTCCTAAGGGACTCTCCTATCCTAAGAGAGTCACAAAGGATTCACTTAATCCTCCAGCAATGAGTTCTCTGTGTGAGACCAGGTTTGAAACGTTACGAGGAAGCCTGCTGGAGACTCCGTGCCCAAGTTTTTACTGGGGCTGGCCATGCAGGCAGCCTCTCATTGGCACATATGCAAATTCCAGACCCCCTGCAGGAAAGCAGGTGTTCAGCCTCAACCGTACTGTTTGCACAAACAGATTAGGCACAGTGAGCCACTTTTAGCAGTTAACAGTGAAAACCTTTGTAAAATCCCAGACACCAACCAGCCAAGGGCCAGCGCTGCAAGCAGACCTTTTCATGGGTGGAGGTCTAGGTCTGTTCTGTTAACTATTTTCTGCACAAACACTGCTAGTAGAGTACTAATACTGTCATGCTACGACATTAGGATTGTTTGTTTGTTTGTGGTGCTGGAGACTGAACCCAGGACTTGGCCAGGTTAGGCAAGTGCCCCAGCACTGAGTGACACTTCTTGCCCCTGGCGATACTTTCCCTGCAATATGTTAATAGCTGGTTCTTTCTTTAACCATTTTGTGCTAAACATTTATGGAGCCCTTATCATATGCCAGCAACATGATTTAAACCATATCTAGTGGTACCTCGGTTCACAAACTTAATTCATTCCACTATTCTGGAAAAGACAGTCACACTTGTGCTCATGCAGGAAAGATGGCCAAGGTCATGTTCTTCACCCAATGCAGAGTTTGCAAACAAAAAACGTTGTCATATGCTTCTGTTTGTGAACCAAATTGCTTGCAAAAAGTGTTTGTGAACCGAAGTACAACCAAAATTTGTATAATAGCCCAATAAAACAGATCCTGTGTTTTTGTTACCATCATACAGACCAGAATATTTAGTTCCAGCTGAGTGAGTTAGGTAACTTGCCAAAGTCTCACAACTAATAATCAGTAGTGTTGGGACTGGACCACAATAGTTAACTAGAACATGGGCTCTGGGGGAATTCTAAGCAATTTTGTCACACACCTTCCTTTTCTTCTTCTTAATTTTTTTTCTTTCTTTTCATATAGTTATCAAAAGTTGCCCCATTTCTCTCTCTCTCTCTCTCTCTCTCTCTCTCTCTCTCTCTCTCTCTCTGTCACACACACACACACACACACACACACAAATACAAATATACATCTATATCTCAACATGTTGTACTGATAGCAAGTGCGCAACCTGGAATAGACTGGCCTTCAAATTTGCATTGAACTGAGTGTAGCGGGAAAGCTACTGGGGAAGCTGAAAGAGGAGAGTTAAAAGGATAGAGGCCATTTTGGGTAAATTAGAGAGAATCTACCTCAAAAGTTTTATATATATGGGGGGGCAGGGAGGTACCCCAGTGCTTGCTGGTATGCACAACGCCACTGCTCAGTCCCTAGTACCACAGAAAAAAGTACAAAAATGAAAGGATAATTAAGCACAGTGGCTGAATGTTTACATTCATGTGCTGCACCCTGAACATACAAGCATCATGCCTGCTGACTCTGAACTCAGCAGCTGGACTCTAAAGCAAAACTCTGGGCTAGCTCTAGCAATGTGTTTTTATTCCTGTTCATTGGACCTTTTGTAAATTATTTTTTTGCTGTTTAGAATTCTACAAAATAATGGACACATTTATCACCACAAATTTCTTAATTAATTAAGTTTACCGGTACATTTTAGATATACATAATGACGCACACATCATAGGGAATTTGTACTTGTACATGATATATCTCGA